TATCTATGTAGATATAGACTCATATGTAGATATAGATAATGGATATAGAGATGACTGACTATAGATATTAATAGATATAGATATATAAAATTTTATTTTTAGATACTTTTGCTTAGAAAGCTACATTTTTTTTTTGTTTATCCCCTCCCAACCCCTACATATACAGGACTACTTTATTTAGACTGAATAAAATAGATACAATAAAAATGGGCCTCCTTTCTTCCCTTTTAGGAAATTATTTGGGTGAATTTAGGGAGGGTAATGGTGAATACAAAAGTACAAACCATTTTCCTCTGAAGACCTCAGTATACTATTTTTTTTCTTTTTATGGTAGACAGGTCCATAAAGGAAAAGGTAAGAAGGGTTGGGAAACAGGTAGTATAACAGAGCACCCAGATTATTTGTCCTGAAATGGAATCTAGTTAACATGACTTAGTAAGGCTGATAATAGCTAGTGTTTATACAGCATTTTCAGGTTTGCAAATTCATTTACACATTAGCTTATTTGATCCTTAATTAACCCTGTAAAATAGGGGCTATTATTATCTTGTTTTACAGAGGCAAAGTGAGGGTAAGTGACTTGCCCAGGGTCACTCAGATAGTAAGAATCTGGAGCAGAATTTGAACTCAAGGCACCTGACTCCAAATCTAACATTCTATCCACTACTATACCACTAGCTGCCTGCCACTTTGAATAGATATCATTCAGACCTTGAACCATTTTTTGTTTTAGCTAATTCATATATAAAATTACAGTTTTTTTGAGATAATGGGAATAATTTTTAAAGAAAAAAATTGAGGTGGTTTTTTTTTAAAGAAAGAAAAATCTTGAATTCTTTTTTTTTTAAAGCTATTCATCAATTTTGAATTTGCCATCCCATTTTTCCAGGATGGAAATAGGGACTGGATCTATATTTTCGGTGTCATGGAGAACTTCCTATGAGGAAAAACTTCCTGCAGTAAAACAGATTGGCAGGCACTTCTGTGCATAGAGCACTGAAAGACTAAAAGATTGGCCCAGAGTCACACAAAAAGTGTCAGAAGTAATATTTGAACTGGAGTCTGTTTGCTTCCCAGGACGGCTCTGTATTCATTGTAGAAGGAAGGAATAACATTGTCATCCTTACTTTTCTTATTTCTATTAGGTTGACAAGGGTATTTTTATTTTAAAAATAACATTAGGACACATTGTCTACACAAGCAAAGTTAAATAGATGATTCAGTGATTATCCAATTCATCTGATCGCTGTAGAAACGCAGATACTTCAGATTAATGATAAATTTCAGGTCACAAACAATGGTTTATCAAAGACCTCTGTGCAAGGCAAAACAGAGAATACAAAGATGAGCAACAGTTGCTGCCTTCAAGGAACTTACATTCAAATAGATTGTGACATGTACACAAGTAAGTATGATGCCAGATAGGCTGATAAAGGAAAAAGAGAGCTCCAGACTTCTTCCTCCTTGCTCCCTCACACATACTCTTCCATCCAGTGACATAGATCTCCTGGCGGTTCCATGAATAAGATGCTCCATCTTTGCTCTGGGCATTTTCTGTGGCTGTCCCCCATACCTGGAAATGTTCTTCCTTTTCCACTCTAACCACTGACCTCCCTGGCTTACTTTAAGTCCCAATTAAAATCCCATCTTTTACAGGAAGCCCTCCCTACCCCCCTCTTAATTCCAGTGCCTTTCCTCTGTTAATTATTTCCTATTTATCCTCTATATAGCTTGCTTTGCATGTATGTGTTTGCATATTGTCTCCCCATTACATTGTAAGTTCTTTGAGGTCAAGGACTGTCTTTTGCTTCTTTTTGTATGCTCAGCACTTAGCACAGTGCCCGGCAGAGAATAAGCCCTTAATCATTTTTGATTGATTGATTGATTGATTGATAGGAAAATTTGAGGAGGAAGAGGAATTAGGGCATGGACACATGGAAGAAAGGAAGACTGCAGGATAAGATCAGGGGCTAGAGCAATTCATTTTAGTCAAATTGTCCTATAAAGCAACGAAGGGGAATAAATAGTGTGAAATAAGACAGGAAAAATAGATTCCAGACCAATTTTAGAGGACCCTGAATGCCAAATTTGTAAATCACTTTTGCTTCCATAGAAGGACCAGGGAGGGGGGGTGGGGGGGGGAAAGAAAAGGTTATGCATCTCAGTGATCGATGGGGCCTTCTTTTTCTCTATCCCTTTGAAAACACAGGCCTTTCTCAATTCAGGCTTTTGCCTCTTACCTCCTCTATGCCTGCTTTTAAGCTTATTGCAAGAACCTATTGGTGATTAAATGATTTCTGAAATGTTTCTTCACTTAACTTTGCCTATGTAAACATCATGTCATAGTAATATTTTTAAAATATCAAAAGTTATGATGCAAACATTACAATACCCTATGATGTGTTCCATCTCATACAAATGTCTGCCATTCTCATAAAACCTCTTATGTACATATTATATTTACCCATATCAAGGATGCTTATTACTTGAAAGGTTCCCTGACTGCCTGAGGATTCTGTTAGCTAGAGCTTGTAAATAATCTAATGAATTTGACTCAATTCAGTAAACACTTGTTAAACCTCAGGTATATTTAAGGTTGTGGTAGGTGCCAAGTATACCAAGAAGATAATAACAACAGCAGCAACAATAAATAGTCCCGGCCTTCAAGGAGTTTGCATTCTACTGTATAATACAATGTAAAAACAGAAGAACAAATGCAAAATATTTACAAGGTGGTTTCAAGAGGCAAAGAACATTAGCAACAGGGGATATACATCAGGAAAGGACTAATTTTCAAGGTGACAGTTGAACTTGAAATGAAGCCATGAATTCTACCAGGCAGAAGTGAGGAGGGAATATATTCCAGACTTGGAATATCAGCAGTGCCAAGTTCTGAAATGAATCAAAATCATGAGTTGAGGAATAAAGTGTCTTTAATTGAGAGTACAGGGTAGCAAACCTGCCATGCTGGGGGATATCCAGGGGATATCCCAACCAAAGAGACCCAACAAAAAGTTTTTATAGTTTTAGGAGGAAAGGGGGTAGATATAGTTGAGACTCCAGTGTCCCTCGGCAATCGGGGCAAGGAACAGCACTTTATTCTGGTTGTTTTGCCTCTCATTCCATGAATCCCAGTGGAAGGAGGCAAGGACGCCAGCAGCTGAGATCCAGCTTGAGCTGGGCTCCCCACAAGACAACACCCCTGGGTTGGGGGGGGGATCTAAAGTGTGGTTCTGCCCAACCTAATCTCATGATCTTTATGGTAGAAACGTAAGGACATTACTGGAATTTTGGCATTGTCATGATGACTAAGAGGTTTAAGCAGTCCATACTACAACCTGTATTAACAATTTTCTGTCATTACACTAACAATTATACTAACAGTTTTGTCAGCAGCACAGTACAGGGTAAGAGCACTGCCTTTGAAGTCCCAGGACTTGTGTTCAAATCCTGCCTCTCGTGGTTATTATCTCTGTGACCTTGGGCAAATAACTTAATCTCACTAGACCTCAATTTTCTCATCTATAAAATAAGCAATTAGTATTAAATGGCATCTGCGGATGTTACTTTCAAACCCAGATCTCTGCAAAAGTATGGAGGGGAAAGATTGAATATCATTTGCAGTGAATAAGTAACTACTTATGCAAACTTTGTAATATTTCCAAATCAGACTCACAGTTCACATAAAGCTCAGAAAAGCAGTCCATTTTCTGTTAGTATTACAGCATTAATCTCATCCAGTTTAAAATGTATTATCTCATTTCATAATGTTGTCAATATAAAATGTCATCTTGTAGCACTCAATTGGAGCTGCAAGATGGATATTCATCTTGAAGGCTGTTTATTAACTGCTGGGTTGGAATCGTACAATATGAAATCATATTAGACTGTTTGTTTGGAAGACTTAGCTTTGAACTTCATATGCATAGGTGATAAACATTGTGTTGTATTCAGTCAACTAATTCTTCTTGATCTGAAATGTTTATACAGCCCCAATGGTATAATGTGAATTATACCTTAAATTGCATCATATATTTAGAAAGGAAAAATAGGCTTTGCAAAGAACAACATCATCTTAGTATAATGATAACACACCTATTTACATAATGATAATATACATATTTATTGCCAAGTATGTTTGTTTTGCATTAGTGTATGTAGCAGGGCAGAGAGAATTAAAGAATTCTAAAATGGAGTTTTCATGGTCGATATGGCTATGGTGGAGTGTTTATTGGCAGTGAAATAAGAAATGAGGGGGAAAATGTATATTTTAACTACCAAAAAAAATGAGTAGTGTTACTTGTTCAGTCCAGGTTGTTAATGGGTGCAAGTACGCACATACCCAGGTATTTAGCTCTATCCCTAATGAGGAGATACTGCCTCTCTGAAAGCAAGTGAAAATCTTTCTTGAATTTTGTCAGTGGGCATCAAAAAATTCAAGAACTCCAAATCTCTGTGAGTTGCATGCATTCTCCACAGACATGGTTTTTAAAGGACGCCACTATTAGACTCATTTAATCCATGAGATGAAAACCTACATTTTTGGTTTTGCTTCAAAAGCTGGAAATCTTTTTTATATTTCTAAGGAAGCCTGAAACCTTGTACTTAAAAAAAAAGTCAGGAGATGCTATTTTGTGAGCTGTCATATGTTTTCTGAACTTTTTGTAATGGAAAGAAGTCTCTAAAGAGCCCTTTTCCTCACGCCTCTAACAAAGGCATGTCCCAGTTTATTAAAAAATCATACACAACAATACTGCTTGCCAGGTTTTATAGTCCTAATGAAAATTTGGTCCAGAGCACAGAAATTATCTGGAAAAATGCCTGAAATTTCCCTGTCGCAGATGTTTCAACAGAAGGTGCTTGCATGCCATTCGTTAATACAACGCCATACGGGGCTCAGTATGACCACTGCAATAACCAGTAAGTAACACACGCAGCGTGCGCATCACTGCGCCAAATTTCCCGTCTGTTGTGTGGGATTCATATCCCATGGATTGAGACGTACCTTGATGAAACTGCATTGTCATGGAATGATAATATTTGTGGATCACTGTGCATGGAAAACATCCTTTCAAGAATGTGGGAGGTACGTTTAAAGATTCCGTGCATGTCTTGGCATTGTGATTAGAACGGATGTGAACGTAAGTATTTAGTGCCTTCTTTGGGGTTGGCTTTCACATGCCAATTTACAATAGTGCCTCTAGGGTTAGTAAAGACATTCTCAGGGGGGCAAAAGTTATTTGTATTTTTACTTGGACCATGGCGATATAGTGATGGAAAACAAACAAACATCAGTGGGTTTGTGGTTGCTTTTTGCTTTAAAATGTGTATGAGAAAAGAGATAAGAAGGGAAGAGAAAACTGAGAGAAGCAGTGTGGTATAGTGGATAGAGATCTGGCACAGGAATAAGAAAAATATAGGTTTAAGACCTGCCTCTGATATATACTAGCTGTAATGTCCTAGGACAGGGCAAATCACATCTCAGCGGAGATGTTAAATAATTTGCCCTAAGATTGTTAAAAGATGAGTAAAGGGAGTTCCCTCTCGCCAATAAAATCACAGAGAAAGGTAAAAAGGAAGGAAGGAAGGAAGGAAGGAAGGAAGGAAGGAAGGAAGGAAGGAAGGAAGGAAGGAAGGAAGGAAGGAAGGAAGGAAGGAAGGAAGGAAATTATCAATGATTTGAAGGAGGTGATTTTATAAACTCAAGGCTTGTACATTACTTGGCAAAAGGCCAGCCTATATGGCCAATTGAATATATATTTGTCCAGTTACTTTAGGTTATTTTCATTAAGTCGGAGATCATCCAAGAGACATCCTTTTGAAAGCAAGGAAAATTTGTAGCATTCTAGGACATATTCCATTGCCATATTTAAAGACAGGTCTAGAATGAAACCAAAATTTCTCTTCATCTTCCCAATGCTATGACTCACAGTCTTCTTTTAGGACAACAGTACCTGTGGACGAATGGAAAGAGCTCTGGATTTGGAGTCAGAGGACATGCATCTAAACTGCCACTCTACCACTTACTTCCAGTGTATGCTTGGTCAAGCCTTTCTTAACTTTTCAATGTTTTAGTTTCCTCATCTATAAAATGGTCATTAGACTACTTGCCTTACCTACCTCACAGGGCTTTTATGAGGAAAATGCTTTGTAACACTGAAAATATTCTAAAAATGGGAGTTTTCATTATTATTACTCTCTCAAATTAGGTAGTTCTTGTGGAAAACTCTGTGTGTGTGTGTGTGTGTGTGTGTGTGTGTGTGTGTGTGTGTGTGTGTTGGATGTCCAGGACCAATATAAAGGATATCATCATAAAAACATTCGACTGGAAAAAAGAAAAAAAAAACGGGTCAATGGCAGTGAGAATCAGGAATAACCAGTGGAAAATCTGAATATTCCATTGTTATCCTTTAGCTTTTAGCAGAACTCAAAGTGCCACTTTGGGTTGCCCCTGTGTTGCATTTATGGGAGAGAAAAAAAAGTGTGTGTGCTATCAGAAGGGATATATATACTCACATGAGTATCACAAATAAGATCTCAGACCCATTGAAATATGGGTAATGACGGGGTTGGGAATGGAAGGTAGTTTTAAAATACCACATTCTGTTAATAACATTATAGTATCCAAATATAAGGCATTAGCTTATTACAAATTCAAGCTAACATCTTGAGCAACATGTTGGGGTTATGTTTTAGCTGTAATTAATTGAAATGTGCGTTTAGTCCTTTCTTCCTCTGTTTTAAAAGGTTTTGTGGTGGATTTTAGGCACCTTTGCAGTTGAGAGGGAGGAGATAAGATTTTGATCATTCCCTTTGCTCAAATTATATTAGCAGCTGAAATTGTGGTTTCCAAGTGTGGTCACTGGATTACAGATAACTCAGGGATGTCCCTCAAGTAGTCTAAACTACTAATAATAAGTTTTTAAAGCACTCTCATTTACAATATCTTGTTTGATGTTCACAATGATCAGATTAGGTAGGCAGGTCTGGCATTATTAATTCCATCTATAAATAGAGGAAACTGAGGCTCTTGATAGTTACACGACTAACCTGAGGTCTTAGGATCACAGATATAGGACTGGAAGGAATCACAAAGGTCATCACCTCCAACTCCCCCTGATTTTAGAAATGAAGAAATGGCCTTAGAGAAGTTGTAATTTTCTTAATGTCATTAAATGGCAGTGGGAATATGAACTGGGGCCCAATGACTTTAAAATTATCAGGAAACTTTGACATTCTTTCCGCTGCATCACATCATATAGATAACTGACAGTAGTATGGGAGGGTCCAGTCCTTAAATCGTATATACAATACGTTTCACCTACTGCCATTCCAAGCCAAGGTTTGGTGAGCCTGTTTCCATAAATATATGATAGAGGGGTCCTTTTACTCCCTGATTCCAAGCAGGTGCAGGTATCCTCTGACTATTTCCTGTTGGCTTACTGCATAGTGACAGAATACCTTTTAATTCAATGCTTGGCCAAACTGCTTGTGCATAAAAAGGCTCAGGCAGACAAGATTTCTCTCTCTCCCTGTTGGCAAGTGAGGTAATCTATGGCTCCAGGTGGGAGAAAAGTGGTCATGAACACACGGCTGCCTCTGTGTTTTGTGTCTCTGTTTTATTATTCTTTCCTGATATGAACTGAATGAATATCAGAGACAGAATGGCAGAATAGATGAGATTACAACCTTGTGAGCTTCAGGAGATTGGAAGAGCCCTTAAAGTTCCCCTCAGCAGCTCGAACTGGTGAGGGGACTACCCTTAGGAGTGCCACCAACTTAACCCAGTCCAGCAGTAACTTAACCCACACTCTTACACTATTATTACAAGCAGAGAATATTGTGTATGCGTTAAGGATGCATGGTGCAGTCTTGTCTTCTCTCTCCTCTCCCTCTCCCCACACTGTGATCAAAGAAAAGGAAAGATCCTAGCTATAAGAGTATGTGAACTCAGTTAAATCTAATTCAATTGATAAAATCAGAGCTTGAGAGGAAAGGGGATGATACAAACATTTATGAAACACTTGCTATTTGTCAGGCACCATGCCGGGCATTTTTACAAATATTATCTCATTTTATTCTTATAACAACCTTGATGATCTCCATTTCACAGTTGAGGAAATTAAGGCAGATAAGCAGTTAAGTGACTTGCCCAGTGTCACACAGCTAGTTTTTCTGACTCCATTTGCAGGGTTCTATCCACTGTTTTGCTGCCTCATATATAGTTCTGGGGTAGAAGGAAGGACAGAAGAAGGTAGGATGAGATTATTGAACAACTAATAGTATATAGCCCAAGTGGAAGAACTAGGACAGCAAACTAGGTCTGCTAGCTCCCAGTGTGGTATACTTTCATTGTTTTATGTTGTCTGTGCTTGGTGAGATTATCTCCTGTAGCATTACTATTTGTAACATTAAAACATCTATAGCAATATAATACAAATCCATTTGAGCGGAAGAAATATTCTCTCATTAATGTCTCATCAGAGCAGTTCCTCATGGCAACCCGAGAAAGCTATCTACCCCAGCATGAAGGTGATGTTTTGGTGGGCAAAGTATTTTTAATGAATTCAGAAACCCTGTAAGTACTGAAATGAGGGATTTCTCATCAAAAGTTCCCCTACTTTCCAACTATTCCAATGGGAAATTTTGCAGTGAGATTAAATAAGATATATAGGTTGTGAAACCTTTTTCCTCATGGAAGTAGTGCATAGACTCAAATAGTCTAAGCATTTTGGCTGAATACCAATGATAACACATGATCCAATGAGGTTTCTCATTTTCATGCATGAAAAGGTGTCCAAATATGGATCTAAATTGTCTGCATTTTAAGAGGAACAGTAAATGAAATGGAAAAAAAATTAAAGTCCATTTTTATTGAAAAAAAAAATACTACTTTGTGTCAGAAACCTAAATGTACAACCTGAGGGCAGAACAGGGCATGCATAATCTTTAAGTACTTTGGGAAAGTCAAGCCCTCAGAGGAACCCTCCACTCAGTGGAATTCAGTATAATAATCATTTTATTACTTGCCTATTATGGACCAGGCACTGTGCTAGACACTGTGAAACTAAGACAAAAACTAGGAGGCCCTGCCCTTAGGGAACTTACATTCCATTGAGAGGAAACTTCATGTATATAAATGATTGAATACAAAATATATGCAAGGTAATTTGAAAGGAACACCCAGAAAGAATTCAATTCCTTCTTGTTCAATCACATTCCTTTGAAAAGGTTATGTAGACATGCCTTCAGAGTGCTCTCTTCTCTCACAATATGCTTTTGATTTCATAACATTATAAGGGCTTGTGGTCAGGATTAGCAAATCAGTCTTAGCAGATCCTCACTGGGACCAACTTGAAAATTCCTCATTCCAGATCAACACTTTAGCGTCCATGCTAATTAGTGCAGTGGCTTCCTGAGAGTGAGGGATGGGGGACTTCTCAGCATGCAAGTGAACCCAAACTAAGCAATTGCTACACTGTTAGATTGCCTGCCAGACACTGATCACGTTAATTTTTCATTATCCAATATGGTATGTTCCTTTGAAGTTATACCTCTGATTACTTGATATTATTCTAAAGTGCCTTTATAAACCTGAAACGTTCAGCTCATTCTCTTTTGGTGGCTTTCTTATCTTTCAGGGGATTAAAGAGCTCCTAATTGCCACCCCCTTAGAAGATGACTTAAGAATACTAAACCTTCCTGGAAGCTACTGGTCACTGTTAAACAAGTAAAGTAAGGTCCCCCTGGAAGGGCTATTGGGATAAGCTCTAAGTGAGAGATGCTTGCTAGCTGAGCTGACAGTGTGATTGCTATTCCATGCTTTTATTTCTAAGCAGGAATTCCTTGGTTTACAAAAAAAAAAAATTCTTTTGTGCCTTACCTCCTCGGGAAAGGGTCTTTTGCTGTCTCCTTCCCTTTCTCTCTGTTTTCCTTGTCCATCTCTCCCCTCTCCATCTTTGTTTTCCTTTCTTCTCTCCCCTTTCCCTTATCTCTTCCTCTCCTTCATTTTCCACTCTCCCTTTGCCCTCTCCCCATCTTCTCTCGCATCTCTCTTCCCCTTTCTCCCTCTCTCTCCTTTCCCTC